ATCAGTGGCAGGCCGCTGGTGTGGAGTGAAGTCCTCGGAGCAGGTGTGGTCCGTGGAAGCCTGACTGGCCGGCTCCAGGCGTCAGCCGGCGCTTGATTGGTTAAGCCTCACCCGACTCGGTGGGAGGACGGGGAGCGAAGAAGGTGTCATCATCTCTGAGTGCTCCGCTTTGAGCATGAACACATGCCCAAAATGAGCATTGGCCCGGGGGGTAGAGTGCGTCTTCCGCGCGTCGCGCTCACAGCCGCGAGGCTCCGGGCGGCTTCTCGCACACACACACGTATGGAAAAAAGAAAGGTTTTCAGCGTTTGACTTCACAATTTAACCTCGTCTTAGGGGCTCACTTCTGTTTTCCTCTGGGTTTTTTGTTTTGATGTAGTGAAGCTGCCTCTATGACACGACCAAGAACAATAAATCCACCGGACTCAATCCTCGGTTCGTTGTGTTTTTGGCTCTCGTCTCAAACAACAACACATATCTCTTTGTCCTGGTCGACCGCTGAGCTCCATCTCGCGAGATGAAACACGCCGACAAGGTGATTGCAACCACATGCTGGTCATTAGCGGCGTGCATATGGAGCAAACGTGTCAACCAGCATCACCGCCGTGCGGGCGGAGGACGGGAGGAGACCTTGGCGTTAATGGCGCTGTTTATGAAACACCGCGACCCAGCGGAACTACAAAGACTCTGAGACGGGGAGTGTGTTCTTCTGTGTGAGGCCCTTCATGTGCTCACGTGCACACGTGCACACACACACGCGCGGCGCTGTGTCTGAGAGCAGATGACATCAATGTCAGAGTATTAAGAGAGGAAATGGTGCGTCTCTCCTTCGAGAACTGCATTTTAACTGATTGATTTATTTGGACGTAAAACATATATATGGACAGCACGAAAGACGGCGGGATGATCCCATGAAGTCACGCCGCATGTCCACCACACGGGGACACTTAGAAAAACTACACGAGGTGCCACGAGCTGCCATCTAGAACCTTCTGTGCGGACACGGGAGGCTGCTGGTAAACGTAGTGTTCTCTTTAACAGGGATCTTCCACGGTAGCGCTGGGGGCATGAGCTCAGGACACACATGGCACTGAGGGACACCAGAGCAGTCCCACCAAATCCCGTTAGGTAAGCCTGGGTTAGTGATTCCACGCTGCGAGACACTGGCTAGCAGATCCGTCACGTTCCCACTACATCAAAGGAGAGTACAGCGCTTCAACCCTTCCACGCCCCCTCCTCCTCGCCATGAGGAAGTGCGATTGAGGGTCCAAAGGGGGGGAAAAAAGAAGGAGAAGAGGGAGCGCTCTTAGCTCCCCACACCACAGCAGCAAAACTAGGCTTTGAAAAATTCATCGATTCTATCGGTTCCCCTCCTCAAGCTGTTGCTCAGCACCGCGAGACTGTTCAGCTGTAGATCACCAGCACGTCTTCCCAACATTTCAGAACCATGAACAGGCAGTTGTGTCTTTATCTCGTCCGCCATGCACCGGCGTTCATTTAAAGGGTTCGGGTGAGGCGTCGTGAGCTAAGTGGTTTTAGGGCTTCTGTAGTTCCACGAATAAAACGTCTCGTGATTTCAACAAAAAACGGTAAACATTTTCTGTGACTGCAGAATCTGAAAATAGATTTCAGGTCGTTTAAAAATACGCACTGTCCATCACGTGCGCGTTGATCTTTATTTAGAAGCTGTCATCTTCACATCCTCACTTGAGTTTGTTAGAAAAATAAAGACCATCAAAGCACTGAACTTCTTCTTCTACACATCAAACCCAAAGTGATGACATCCCAAAGGCTCTGGAGAGTTACACCTAGAGACAATTATCCTTAATACCGTTATGGGCAATTACGATCATTATGACCAGCATTGTTCATTCGTATATATATATATATATATATATATATATATATATATATATAATCCATCACAGAAACACAGAGGGAAAACAATGCTGTCCTATCTTCACAAGCTTTCCTACTTTTAAGCATCAAAATGTAAAGCAAAGAAATATGGACCTTGACGTATCGAAAAGTCTATTTGTATTATCTGACGCATCTGAAAATGCTTTGAGAGAGAATCAGTAGATGAAAGACAAGAGATCAGTGTACTTCTGTCCAATTAAACAACCAGATTATTGTTGGCTGAAATACATCAGTGTGGCGTATTTCTACAGCCAAACAGCATGCAATCAGTAGAATCTATACAAAGGAGTACAATCGCTAAGGCGCCGTGATATCAAGACACTATAAACCTGAAGCTACTTCAGGCCCCAGCAGCAAGCACCACTAAACACACAATGCCCCTTTTTGCTCCTCCAAGACGAAAAAAAAGTTTCACCTCACATGACGAACTCTCAAAATGCCTTTATGCTCAGGATACCCTGCAGACTCCACATCCTAAAACAGCTATAGGATTACGTAAACATGAGGGTATCCGTGACACACCCCTGACTCTTTGAAGTGGTCAACGTGAATACGCTCGACACCGGACTCCCGCCTCTTGTGGCGGAGGCGACCTATCAAGCAAGAAGCCCTCAAAATCTGCTGACAATCAGCTACTCCCGACAGCTCCATCGCGACTGGACGGCATGTGCAGGAATGTCACGGTCAATGGAAATCAATCTAAACGACTGGGATTGGAGGGAGGGGTGGGGGGGGCGGGGATGGAAGAGAATGAAAGGGAGAATGTGCCTTTGATCTGGGTGAAAACCGATCCCAGGCCTGCAGATACTGAGGCTGCGGTGGCCCGGCAGCGAGCTGACATCAGGGGGGGAGCAGGGAGACTCGTGTTCCGTGATCCTCGCCTCTTTTTATTGGGTAAGTGAGAGAAACGTACAGAAAATGACTACCGAGTTATTGAAGACAGCGTGAGGGCAAGGGAGGGGGAAAATGAAAAAAAGCAGCCATGGTAAAGTAAATGAAAGCGGGTCTTTAAAAGTTTTGGCAGAGAGAAATCCGTCAAACTGCCCGGTCTAATTCATCTGCAGTCAGCTGGTCTCCATGCGCACCCTTTAGGAGGTTTTTTTTTTTACCGGGTGCGATGAAGGCACAGGGGAAGCAGTGCAATTGTAACACCATCCTGTGATAAGAGTTGCGTGTGAATGAAGTTCCTTTACACACAGCGTGGGGCAGCAGACCCCCCCCCTCCAAAACAACCACATCTGCCTCTGAGAGCGTTTTCACACAATGACGGGGCTCGCATTTCACCGCCCCCGATGAAACAAACGCGTACCAGCCGCGGAAGCACAAACAAAGCCAGAACTTGTGCGAGTGTTTCCTGTCTGAAGGAAGCAGAACTGCAGGCAGACTGAGCCCGGTTGTCCTCACGAGTCTGATACGGAGACTTGGACAAAACCGGATAAGTGGACAGCTGCCGATGTGCCTTGAGCTCTGTGTCTGTCTTGAGAGGAGAAATTTGCAAACGGGACAGACACAGGAAGCCGCCAGAGAGAGAGAGAGAGAGAGAGAAAGAGACCTGCAGCTGGCCTGAAATTGATACCATTACCGGGGCAAATATCTGCAAGAGCACACGCCACCCCTGGACGGGACTGTGAGAGCAGCCTCGGAGGGGCGACGCTGCCTCGGGGCCTCCTCTCATGCTGGGCTAATTAGAGATGTAGGTATGCATCACTTAAGATTTTAACAAGATGAGAAATACTGTATTCCTATCTCGTAATCTTCTGGAAAGTATGAGAGCCATTCAGGAGCCAAAGGTCGTATGTGGTTGTCAAGGAGATGAGTGGTACAACGCCAGGGCGCGAGGGGTGATACTCGGCGACAACACAAATATTATGAACATTGCAGGTGAAGATACATATTAATTTCTCTAGGTTTACGTTTGTTAGTTATCAGTCAAGTAATGTGATCTGACCTGAAAAGTCTTTCAGCTCTATTCAGTTCTTTTGTTGCGTTTATTTCCCAGTTCATAATTTTGAAGTAAAGTAAGTAATTTGTCAATAAAGGGATATTTTTCTAATTAAGCTGTAATATTGTAAACTAAATCTTCTTGTATGATGTGGAATTTAAAGCTACTGATAATATTAGTATAATATAAAGCTATTTCTATACTCTTTTTATTTTTTCTATCTTAAAAATAGGCCGAGAAAACGGTTGTCTACTGATGACCTATGACCTATTTTAACCTTGTGTAGTTCTGTAATTATGTTGTCATCAGCCTTATCAGATTCTTCTTTAACGAATATTTGCTATCTAACACTTTCAAAAAGGATCACGTAGGTTATAATCACAGTAATATCAAAATGTGCTTATTTAATCTATGGAACAGTCTGAACCACAAAATAAAATACAAGCAAATGCTTTTATTTAAGGCTCTTAAAAACAGTAAACGTTAACAACAATGTCTCCATTGTTGCAATTGTAACAATGAAAATAGCTGCAACTTCTGCGATACGATTTTATTATTTAAGTGCTGATTTGATTCGTTATTGAATTCCTGCGGTTCCTGAATGGAATTTAATTGAATGTCTTTAACTAAATCAAGATGGAGTACAAGGGATCAAAATGCAGATGTTCTAAAAGTGGATCAGCGTGTACGAGTGAAGTCAGAGGTTGCTTCCTGTCTCTGTCCTCAGCCTGCACGCAAGGTGCTACGCTACAATATCAGCAACACAAAGTAAGATCTCTGCAGGTCTGTCATCGTGTTAATGACCAAAGCAGATGTGTTGTCTCAGAGCAGCACTCTCAGCGTGACTTTACCAACTTCAAACAAAACATAAGGTAAAACAAAACATAGACCGTAACCCAACGAAGAGGAAAGAAAGGACATGCCTCAACTACACCGCCAAATAACACAGATTCCCGTATTCCTCTCACCCCTATATCTTCCCCTATTTATTTCCTAAATATAAAACCCCGCCACGCAAAAATTGGGAAAAGTCGATACCTTTGTGCACTTCGGCGGAGTTGCTGTTTTTTGTTTTGTCAAGCAAAAATATATTTTGTTTGTTTACACAAAACCAAAAAAGAGGCGAGATGTTACTGACCGTTCTGGGCATGGGCGGCGAGAGGGAGCCATTGTTCATGTAGGAGTCGTTCATGTTGCTCATCATGATGTAGCCCGGGTAGCCCTGGTACGGATGCCCTTTACTGTACAGGTCTTGGAGTTTTCCTGATTAAAAAAAAGAAGAAAAAAAGAGTCACAATTCACTGCATGTTTGCAAAAGGTCTCCCATGAAGCCGTTCGTAAATGTGTCAATGTCTAAACTCTTTGTGACTCTCACAAATACTGGAGCTTTTAACACAGAAACATATCGAACAAATCCTAATTATGCTTGAGTTAATAAATCAGACGAGCATTAAAGTCTTCTTTCACTGGAGCCGCAATGATATCACTGTGGATGGCTTTGACCCGGGCCCCGTTTCTCCCCGGCCTTTTGTCTGTGCCCTTTCCTCCCGTCTTGGAGAGGAGGGTCGTATTATGCAGAAGAACAATGGAGCCCCTCTGTGCCAATTAGCACCAATTAGAAGAACATACAGGCTGTGTCAAAACAGGAGACGCCCCAACAGTTCCACTGTGCCTTTGACCTGAGAGACGGAGAGCTTCATAAAAGAGGCCTCAATGCAGCGCCACTTGCCACTCAACTGCGCGCAGAGTAATAAGGCCGTGGGCGTTGAGAAGGGGGGGGTTGGGAGCATTTGTGGTATACAGCCCTGATGGCAACATGGGTCTTGTTATGAAGAAAGCCAGTGTTTGGTTTGAAGGAGATCCCATTCAGGAGCGAAAGCGGAACAAAGAGGAGACACACTCCTCCTCAAAGGCCTAATGATGACACGCAGGCGTGAGGTCAGATTACAATACCCGGAGAGCAAAGGGCCCCGAGCGGCAGCAACATGCTGCACGCAACAGTGTGACCGGAGAGCTGAGGTATTGTGGGGGAAATGCTTTATTGGGGGCGATGCGTACTTGCGGAAAAACCACAAGACAGAAGTTGTAGGATTTTTCCTTCGTAATCGCTCTTGAAACGAACACGTCTGAAATGTGCAAATTCATCCTTCTTTCAAGCGTCTTTGTCTCTGCAGGCTCCCTCATCTACGGGGTGGGTCACAGGGAGCCGCGTCCAGGACGGCACGACATGCCCTGACTAGACTTAGATCGGAGATTACCCGTCTGAGAGCAGCAACGGGGGAAAAAACAAACAAAAAAAAAAAACAGGGGTTGCGATAAGAGGTAGAAGAGTGTGACTGATGGCTTCTGCGTGGGGGAAACAGGGTGGCGCTTCTTCACACGTTGTCCTTAAAACCCTCAACTTCTCGTGGTGGAATTCGGAGGCCTTACTGCGTCTAAATGACATGCGGGTTGTCCCATAAAGCGCGCTGATTATAACTTACCATCCTCCAAATGGTCTCTGTGTTTTTCATGATATGAATCTTGCGGTATTTGGGACAGTCTAGCTCCCTGTAAAAAGAAAAACAACAACAGTTAAAAAGAAAAAATACAACATTTAAATGAGGGTAAATCAATTAAGATGCTGAAAGCATTTACACAAACACACACACACACACACACACAAACAGTCAGACACCCACAAACACTGCTGGGACGAATGCCGTCCCTTTTGCTTGTCACTAAAGCAGAACAAGGTTGCACACAGGGTAACGCACACACACACGCACACACACACACACACGCATATACAGCCATCTTTAGAGAGGTGATGGAGCCTGCATCAAAGCTTCAAAAGAACCACTTAATTGAGCTTCATGTCCTTAAGGAGCTTACAAATTAACTTGTTTTCAATTCCATAGGCCCACTTTCAATTTCGTCTTTCAGTTTATGTGTATTTCCGTTGCCTCTGTACAAGGTGAAATAAAATCATCCCATGAAAAGAGAAAAACGAGGGAGACAAAAATAGAAGAACCCCATGCTTTTTTTGCAGCCGTTTCCTTTCTCTTTGCGATCAGAATTGGAAAGAGGACTTCTTTTTGGAGTTCAGACCCCTCAGGATGGCTTCAAGCTGAGCGAGGGAGCTTCACTGGATTCCTAATTAACATTCAGCCTCTGTCTCGTGTGTCTCTAGGACGTTTGGTGGTGGATGTGTACAGTCTCACTCAGACGGTGCCCAAAATCCTATTTAACCCGGCAGTAAATTACATAAACAGGCGACAAACTCGTTGATGGGGAATCTGCAGCCTGCATCCAGAGGTCGATGCACAGGTAGATTAAATTGAATTTTTTAAACTATAATGTTTCATGACTATTCTCCCTCTTTTTTGGGAGGGGGGGGGGGGGATGCATCTCGCAAGCAGAGATTACTAAATAACATTTTTGGAAACGTTAAAAAATTCCTCATTAATTAATTGAGATTATATTTGCATTTACTTACGCAATACATTTCTTACAATTTTACGTAAGGGTGAACAAAAACTAATGCGGCTGTTTAATATAAATTTGATGGCAAAAATAAATCGGGTAGAATTAAATGAACACAACAATGAAGAAATCATTTTCTTATAATAGATTTTGGTGACAAAATAATTGGATTGGATGTTGTCTTTTGTGCCCTTTGAAATAAATGAACCATCTCCTTTATCAAGACATTGGAAGTCAATCTGTTTGCTGCAGCTGCTGAGTGTTATTGTGAACCCCTGACAGCCTCCTTGTCACTGGCAGCACACAAGGCCCCAATTCCTACCTCTCAGATCGTCATATTAAATTATTCTAAACACATTTTTTTGTTTGCCAATTTAACTACACGTTAATAAACTATAACTTCAACACATATTCAAGTGTGCAGTTGAGGCCTCCAATGTTTCCTTCGGAGCTTCTGATGTACCGAGGTGAGCCTGTGCACTCTGCAGCGGTACTGTCTCTCTTTTTCTCTCCAAATGAACACATGTAAATGTACGAGTGCAGCCAAGGGCATGAATGCACCTGAGCGCTCTGTGCGCGCGTGTGTGTGTGTTTGTGTGTTTTTTTACCTAATCTGAGATAAACCTTTATGATAGAAGAGCTTAACGCGTTATGAAACCGAGCAGGGTCTCTCTCAGGAGGGAAATTCATTTGAGGCCTATTTGCTCTTCAGAGCTCAGACCATCTTATCAAAGCTGTGAAATCGCTCACGTAAACCCCGACCAATTACTACGAAAACCAGGTGTTTTTAAACGATTAAAACAACTTAGTTGGGCCGGCCTGACGCGGACTGCTCTCCCCCTCTCCCCCTCTCTCTCTCTCGGGTGGAGTTCAGAGTGAACACCCACCTCCATCATCCCTCGACCCCACCGAGTCGACCCCGCGGCGGTACTCACGTCGTGGCTGTTGCTGTTGGGGCTGCTCTCCGACTCGTTGACCAGAGAGGACTTGATGTCCGCCAGGTCTCCCTCCTCCTCCGAGTGGCTGAGCTCGGCGAAGATCTGCTCCTTGTGCGGGTCTCCTTCGTCTTTGAACGGGATCATTTCGTCCGTAGCGCACAGCTCCGGGTCTCCGCCGCCGCCTGATAACTGCGGCATTTTTTATTTATTTTAATTTAAATATATATATAGTTGGTGTTGTTGTTGTTTTTTACTCAGTTTGTTTCACACACGCGCAAGAAGCTACGCGGCGTGGAGGGGAGGGGGGAAACTCCCTCTGAAATCCCCCCGAACCGAGCGAGCAAACGTCTCCCTCTTTGACCGCAGCGTCGACCGGGAGTCGCTGGCAGAGGAACCCGCTGCCGGTGAGCTTTTTACGGGAAGCAACAGGAGGACCGAGGGGCTGTGAGTCAGCGTCCCCCCCTCCTTCTTTTTTTTTGTTTTCTTCTTCTCGTCACCACGACTGTTTAAAACTTGAGGCTCAGAACGCGAGTCCAGTGCACGCCTCAATTTAATGAGGAGAAAAGCCAAAAATAAAAAATAAAACAAAAAGGAAGACAAACCACGAGTTAAAATCTCATCACTCGCGTGTCAGTCAACACGCGCGCACACACACGCGCACAGGCACACACACACACACCTGGCGACTGATAAGGTCCGGTGGGGGGGGAAAAGTGCATTTATAAAAGGTGAGAAACAATATTTCCTCCGTGGTCCGGTGAAGAAGCCGCGTCGTCCTTGAAAGTGGGAGGACGGGGAGGGGAAGGAGGGGAAAAAGGGGGTTTGGGGGATGGCGGGGGGGGCAGAAAGTCGGCTAACAAAACCAAAACACCGTCTGGAGGTGAAAAGGTAACTGATGGATGTGCAACTGGAAGGAGAGAAGAAGACAAAAACACACAGTTGCAACGCTCAGGCAAGACAACAAGCAAACGCGCTACGCCGCTTTCATGCTGCAAAATACATCCTCGACGCGGGAGGGACACAAAAAAAAGCAAAAAGTCGTAAAACAATCAGAAAAGAAGGTAGTAGACTGGAGGAAAAAAAACCGCCGAGGACCGACTTCCCACTGCTCGCACACTGCTTCCACAGTGTAATGTAACCGGTGTGTGTATGTGTGTGTCGGTAATGTAGCCGTGCTCCCTCCTCCTCCTCCTCCTCTCTTCAGTCATTGGGAGGAAGGGGAGATGAAAGGGAAGCCGCGGCTCTGATTGACACCGCAGCGATTGACGCTCCTCCTGAGAGAGAGATTTACACACGGCTCACAACAAATGGGCAGACGGGGGGGAGAAAGAAGCAAGACGCGTGATGAGTTAAAACATTCGTGTTGAATACAATTAACAACAAAAATAGCAATAGAAATAGGGGGGGGTAATATAAACGCAAGAAATGGCAATAGTGTTGTTTTCTGTGGTAATAACCGACAACCTTGTTTCTCAAAAGAAGAAACTGATATGTTTGTGCCATATATAACTAAAAGTAAGGTGTGTAGGTGGTAAGACTTTTTGGGCAACCTATAAAGGAATCATATAATTTATTTATTTGTCTGAATCCAGCTACGTTTGAGAAAAGGGGTGGGGGGGGGGGGGGCTTCTTATTTCTAACTCTTTACATTTAAATGCATCATGCTTGCGGTTTTCTAACGCTAGTGCAATCAAAGAAAACAGAGATAAAAAAGTCATATGGTCCAGGGGTTCAAACACTTTAGCATGTTAATGTATTTATATAACGTTAATTTAATTTAAAGTTAATACGTTGATTTATTTATATCAGACCCCCCCCAATCAAAATTAGATGAAGATGACACGTTTTATATTTTCATTCATTTTTAAACACACACAGCTAAATATCCAGTTTGGGTAATAAATCTGCCTCAACATAACTCTTAAAAATTGCATTCGAATAAATACAAAATAAATCAATTGTTTAATAAATTAATAATAGCAAATATGCAACAAAAAAATATTATTAAAAGAAAAGAAGAGCATGAGTCTCCGAGACTACAAATTTCTCACGGAGAAAAAAAAATAAACCTCCTAAAAAGCAGTGGAAGTGCTGTTCCTTCTGTGTCAGTCTGAGCAGTGAAAGATTGCGTGAGAATCAAAGTTGGGAAGGGGAGGCAGATCTTTATAAAGCGCGGAGGTGGGGTTAGCGGGGCGGAGCCGCGGCTGCCTTTGATCTTGCGGCGGCTGGCTCTTTCATCCCCCGACTCCCCCCGCCCGGTCTCCCCCACACCGCCTCCCTCTTCCACCCTTCTCCTCCTCCTCCTCGCTCCCACTCGCCTTTGTATGACTAAATTTGGTCCGAGTATGGAGCCGGGCCAACATTTCCACGTGTGCGTTCATCCCAGCTGAAAGAGAGAGAGAGAGAGAGAGAGGGGGAAGAGAGAGAGAGGGGGGGAAGAGAGAGAGAGGGAGAGAGAGAGGGAGAGAGGGAGAGAGGGGGGGGGGGAGCTCTTCCGGGTAAGAATACAGAAAAAAAAGATCAAAGGCAGCAGAGACTGGATTCAAAAGAGCCGAGACTGGCTGCATTCCAGAGTATAGCGGAAAGCGCGCGCTCCCCACACGCGCCCGCACTCACAAACACACGGGCACGCACGCACGAGGGACGCGGACAGCGACACGCGCTTGAATACGGCACTGAATGAGAGAAAGAACCAGACCTTTCATTTAAAAAGCCTTTTACATTTATATTTATTGTTTCCACCCCCCCCACAAATAGAAGAGGAAACTTGATACGAGGTATAAAATCGGCCTGTTTCCCCCCCTGCTCTGTCTCTGCCTCATCACAGTACTTCTTAGTTAATTTAATTATCCACCACTTTTTTTTTTTGGCACGACCTGAAATGATGCTACCTTCATCCACCAGCACCCTACAACCATGCTATAGGAACAATTTTATTCCATTGAAATATATTTTTATTCTGCGTCTTTAGCAGCATTCACCTTGGATATGGTTTTAATCATAAAATTGGGAGGAAGGGAGGTATCTGGAAAAAACGATTTTTGGTAGGCCTATTAAGAGACAGTGCAGGCCTGCAGGGCCCAGGGTGAAGAGATCCAAGGTGTGAAAAAATGAAACAGATTGAACAAATCACAGGACTAAATGATTCATGTTTGATTCTTGGCTTTGGCTTTTTGGCATTGGAATATATTATACATTAGAATATATAAAACTTTGTTAAGTAGTGTAACCCAAATGTTCTGTTTGGGGTCTTTGAGACCTTTGGCCTTTAGCTACTCCCAAAACATACGAAACATGTTCCAATACCAATAAGAACGCATTTTAATAGGATTTTGAACCAATTTCCGTATAACAGCTGTTTGGGGTTTATGAAGCATCAAACATGGTTTGATTAATTTGATGTATTGCGTAACGAAGGCAACACTTTCTATGCAGCAGTCTTTTAGAATTTCGGCAATTAAAGTTTAGAACTTCATCATTTAAGACAATATGAGGAGCATGCGTTGTCTTTCAATATTTCTCTCTTTTTAAACAAATGACAAACAAAATAATCCCATATGAAACCTGGTGGCAGATGAAAGGGGAACCACTTACATTTAAATATGTTGAGGAGATCAGCAAAGGCAGATATTTTCTAAAATAAGTTTTTTTTTATATTAATGGTTCTATGGTCTCAGAGCAATGTGGGAGAATGACAAACCAACATCGACAAAATTAAGCATTGATTTAAGATATAGACGATCCCTGTAAATAAATACTATAGAGAAATTTAAAAAAAAGAATAGGTATTAACTGAATTTCCGTTGAATAACAATATGCAATAAGCAAATCTCAGGTAATGGGTTGAAAAATATTGAACTAAAAATATTTGTCAATATTTTGACCCATTAATTCAAATTTTTACGTGAAGCATATTAGCCCCTAAAGGAAATATAAAAAATACATACACGTACATGTTCACAATGAATTGCATATGGCGTCGCAGAGGGAAATAGAGATGTGGAAGTTTTTGGGTTGAGAGATTCATTATTAAATGTTTGCTGCACAATGAGAAGCAGCTGCAGGAAAATGAGGAGCGGTCACCTGTTCGCCAGGATACCACACTGATGTACATATTTCACAGAGCATAAAGACTTATTTTTCATTCGTTTAATGACTATTGTTCGCAGCAGTAGAATAGGTGCATCGGCCATAATCCCAGCATAGACAAAGATGAGGCTTTGTATGCTGTGTAATAATTCTAGTTTAGCAACTTGATGACAAGGCGGCGAACGCCAGCCTCTCTCTAACGGCGCTGTCAAAACCACCTTAAACACTTTTCCTTGACATCAAAATACATTATACTCTGCAGCAAGCTTGGCAGCCCCGGTTGTCAAAAGAAGCAGGAAAGTTGAAGTGGAGAGAAAGGAAATAGAATTAAGGAGCGGAGAGAGAAAAAACAGAGCCACATTAGCATTTCCCTCCTAATGAGTTCATAAGAGTGACCCCGCTGGATCTCACATGAAAAAGATTTCCTGCTGCGCTGTGACCTGAATTCAGTATCCTCTCGCTTCAGATTCTACATTTTGTATATTATATAAGGAAGGAATATATCAATACACACGGCATAATTTATGGATTGGATTTTTATTCTTTATTTCCTTCCTTAAAGAACGACAGTCAATGTGAAGAATGAAACAATATTAATGGTCTGTACGTCGTGGTGTAAAGTGTTGATGAACAAGCGCATGTCTAGCATATTTTGTCTTATGTCATGTTCCCCCTTTGTTCATAAAGTTGGGAGAGCATATCAGTTTAGCAGACAATATGAATAGTGTCAAACAAAATGTGCTTTGTTGGAACAACTTCCAGTCAAGGTCCTCTTTAGATCTATTATTGTCTCATCTTTTATCCGTTCTATTTTTATTGCAATGCACAATACTTCAAACAAAAAATTACCCTAATTATCTCCTGTTTGCGCTGGGTGCCGTGTATGTGTGTGCGCTTCTGTGTCTGCGCGTGTGAGCGTCTGCCCGTGCACTGTGATGACTTGTCAATATCAGTTCCTAAATTCACCTGCCAGGTGAGATCAGTGGTGAAATCCAGACCCGGCTGTCTATATTCCACCTGCTACTCATCCATAACAACTTCCTTGATGTAGAAATTATAGCCCTGGCGCTCGCAGCCATCGCCACTAAAACGTCAGGAAACAAACATCAAATTATGATGAAAAGAGCTTGCAATTAAAGCAGGGAAAAGACACCATTTATCAAACGTGCAAATCAAAAATGAGGGAGGTCTGAGGGGAGTGATTATTTGTGCTGCTCTTTGATTGGTGGAAGATGACTCACCTTCTTGAAGGGGAGGAAAGTGTCTCGGGGGTAAGGTGAGGAAGCCAGACGCAGACGTGTGATCTGTTGATTTACGGTAAAGCTGTCAGGAGGTTGTCTCTGACAAGCTGTCATTAAAAGGAAATTATCTCCATGATGGAAAACGAGGGAAATTTGTCATTCTGTGTGCATGTATTCTGGATGTGTCCAATCGGAAAGGAGACGCTTGAGTAAGAAGAAGAAGAAAGCAGTAAATCTGAGAATACAGGCAAGTAAACTCAAGGGAGCGTTTCAAACGGCCGAGCTAGCAGCTAGCGATGAACGCCAACATCACTGTGAAAACATCACGGCAAGATTTACGTATTTATCAGGTTTACGGTTTACCACAATCAACTTAGTTTAGTAAGATGACATTTCTTAATGTCGGACAAAAATTGTGTCGGACAAAAATTATATTTGGACCTCACGATGGTGATAAATGAAAAGTTAAGGGGTTCATGCTCGAGGGGACGATGTTTTACTTCAAACCACAAAAGCTTGAGGTGTTGCCGAAACAAAAGTTGGATGATCCCCAAAAGTCTCATTGATTCATTATCTGGGAACTGTGAATGTCACAATTTGTGCAAATCCACGAGGTGCTGTTGAGATATTTTACAGGATAAGTAAATACTTTGGGCTAATGGTGGTGACAAAGTCCGGGATCACATAAGTCAGTGGAATTGACGGCCCTGTGCAAACCTTCATGGCAATTGATCCAATAGTGGTTGAGATATTTGAATTAAGTACCGGATTACCAAATCCAATCAGCTAACTCCTCTACTGTTTTGCTCACAGATTAT